GGTGAAATACAAGGCTCCAGGAATTGATGGAATCCAGCTTCAAATGTTTTCACAAACAGATGCAGCACTACAAGCCTCACTATGCTTAGAAACTTAGAGGACAGTGACACACCCTACCAACAGGAAGAAAGCCATATCTGTGCCCATTCCAGAGAGGTGACCCAAGAGAATGTGAAAATCATTAATATCACATGCAAGTAAAATGCTGAAGATAATCCATAAATGGCTGCAGCAGTTTATCAACAGGGAGCTGCCAGAAATTCCAGCTGCATCCAGAAGAGGACATGGAATGACGGCTATCATTGCTGATGTCAGAAGTACCTTGACTGAAAGTAGACAACACCAGAAGGAAGTTTACCTATGCCTTGTTTGCTATGCAAAAAGACATTTGATTGTGTGGATAATAACGAACTATGGATCACATTGTGAAGAGTGGTTATTCCAGAACATTTCATTGTGCTCAAGAAAAACCTATACAGAGACCAAGAGACTTGTACAGAACAAGGGGATACTGAATTGCTTAAAATCAGGAAAGATGTATGCAGGGCTGTATCCTTTCACCATACTTATGCGGTCTGCAAGCTGAGCAAATACTCTAAGGAACTGGATTAGATAAGAAGAATGTATCATCAGGACTGGAGGAAGACTCATTAGCAACCTGTGATATACAAATGACACAACTTTGCTTCCTACAAGTGAAGAGGAATTAAAATACTTATTGTACGAAGGTCAGAAACTAACAACATTCCATATTTATTGCACCTCAATGTAAAGAATACAAAAACCCTCACAATTCTTACCAATAAAACACACCATGATAAATGGAGAAGAGATTGAAGTTGTCAAAGACTTTATTTTGCTTGGACTCACAATCAATGCTCATGGAAGCAGCAGTCAAAAAATCAAATGACGTAGTGCATTAGGCAAATCTGCTGCAAAAGACCTCGTTAAATTAACGTGCTAAAGATCAAAGATGTCAGTTTGAGGACTAAGGTGTGCCTGACCCAAGCTATGGTTTATCAACTGCCTCATACACACATATGGACTCTTGGTGTGGAGCTGTAGGATAAGCACTGGATTGCTAACTACAAATTTAGCAATTCAAACCCACCAGCTGCTCCTCAGAAACCCAATAAGAGTTGCTCTGAGTTGGAATTAACTCAACAGCACTTAACATATGAAAATAAAAGTTGGACAATTAACAGAGAAAACCATAGGTGAACCGATGCATTTGAATCATGGTGTTGGAGAATATTCAAAAGTACTAGGGACTGCAAGAACAACAAACAAACCTGTCCCAGAAGAAGTACAGTCAGAATGTTCCTTACAGGTGAGATTGTAAGACTTCATCTCTTGTTCTTTAGACATGTTGTCAGGAGGGAACAGTGCCTGGAGAAGGACATCATGCTTGGTAAAATGGAGGGTCAGCAAAAAGAGGAAGACCCTCTCCCAACAAGACAATTAACCTAGTGGCAGCAGCAGTGGGCTCACACCTAACAATCGTGAGGATGGCTCAGGACCAGGCAGTGTTTCGTTCTGTTGTGCACAGGGTTGCTATGAGTCAGAGTCAGCAAAACCTATTAACAATTTTAAACCATGTTCATTAATTCATTTTAAATACAAATGAGCTTCATTAAGTTCATGGAAAAATTCCACTGTCTTTCAATTCCATCTTCCCATGAACCTTTTTGCAACCCTCTTGTAGTAAATTAAAAAAAAATTATAAAATAAATTGTTATTGTTGCTAAGTGCCATCAAGTCAGTTTTGACTCACAGCAACCCTATACTTAACAACAACAACAACAAACCCTATATAGGGTTTCTGAAGAGCAGCTGGTGAGTTTGAACCACTGACCTTGTGGTCCAGTGCTTATCCAAAGCATGAACGTAGCACAAATAAGTATGCTCAAATGTAGGACTACAACTTGAAATAGCTTCTTTGGTTGTTTCAGATGCAACAATTATACCTAAATGAAACGGAATCCCTTTCAATATGCAAACTGACTTTTTCTTTATCAACAGCTTTAGATATATCAGGGTTAAGTAAAAAAGTATTACTATAAAATCAGAGAAACCTATATTAAACAAAAATATCAAAATGTGAAGCTACTGTCTCCTCCATTTAAGTGTGTATACTTCTGAAGGCAGTGTCTTCATCTCTAAGCCCTTCCCAAAGAATTCTGTGTTCTTCAGTTGGTTGTGTTTGTGTTCCATCATGTCAGATCTGACTCCAAATGTGATCCTGTGTTGGGTTTCCAAGGCTGTAAATCTTTATGGATGCAGAAAGCTTCCTATTTCTTTTGTGAAACAGCTGGTGGTTTTGAACTGCTGGCCTTGCGGCTAACAGCCTGACATGTAACCCACTATGTCATTAGGGCTGCCCTCTTTTCAATTTGCACCATGCCAAAATGGCAGTTTAGGCTTCCTGAAGGGGCTCAAATTATATTCCTTTTAAATATTCTTTGATTTGGAGGGACAAAAAAAAAAGTGGGGGGGAGGGGGGTAAGATCAGGGCTGTAGGGTAGACAGGTTGAAGTTTTCCAATGAAATTTTCCTATGCATTTTCCTTGCTATACTCGAAGAATGAGAAAGTTCACTGGTGTGATGGAAAAAATTCCCTTGGCATAACTCTATGGCCTTTTTCTCACCAATGCAGTTTTCCATTTTCTTAAAATTTCTTCATAATAAGCCACTGTGATGGTCCTGTGAGAAAATCTATCAAGATTACCCTTTTGGAATAAATAAATAACAACACTCACTATAAACTTCTGATCTAGTTTCTTTACCTTGAATTTAACTGGTCTAATAGGTCCCTTCAGAAGCCACTATTTTCACTAGATCTTTTTTTGAGGACTTCAGACTAAGACAAATGTATTACTAAAAGAAGTGTCTGCAGCCATCCACTGACCACAGGGATATGTCTAATACGTTTTCTTTGGAATAAACCATTATTAATTTACTATTATTAATATTTTTTGACTTAGCCTCATACCTTTTTTTTTAAAGTTTTAATTATGACAAATTGAGTGAAAGTTTACAGGGCAGATCATCAATTTTACATTCAACAAATCATACACTTGGTTCATTATAATGGTTATAATCCCCTCCATGTACCATCAGATAACAGTATTTCTCTCTATTCATTTTAGCTCTTTTTTTTTTTTTAAACACTCAGGCATTTATAATAATTTATACCACCAAAGGGCACATTCTGCAAGTCTGCCTCCTGGCTGCCAGCTCTTGGTCCTCTCTTCCCATTAATCTAGAGTCATCGGCTTCAACCTCTCTCCATGACCCCATCTCTGCCTCCATCCGCTTCAACCTCTCTCCATGACCCCATCTCTGCCTCCATCC